CGCGCGCGCACACACACACACACACACACACACACACACACACACACACACACACACACACACACACACACACACGCACGCTCGCACGCACACACGCACGCACACAAACACACACACGCACCCACCCACAGCACGAGCGCACGACGCACACACGTGCGCGCGCATGCACGCTTATGCATGCATGCTCACATGCATGCACGCAACAACACACACGAATGCGCACACATGCACAAACAAGCGATGATCACTGCTCGCTCTCAGCGGCGTTTTGCGCTTTGGTTACGGCCCGGCGGGGGCGGGGTCCCATCCTCAGTCCTTGAGGGGCGGAGGGCCTCGCTCCATCTGCTAGCATGTGGTCCCACCACGCGCAGGCGCCGACGTTGCGTCTGGGGCGAGGTCGGGCGGCCGCATCCGCGCAGGTGTCATCGGTCTCTCGTGTGAGGTCACATGGTTGAAAAAGCACGCGAACACGCACATGCGCGCGCATGCACACATGCTTGCACGACCACACTTGAGTGCATTCACGCACGCACGAACGCACGCACGAACACACACATGTATATGCATGCATGCACACATGCACGCACGCCTGCATGCATGCACGCGCAGTTCAATCACACACGCACACACGCACACACACATGAGCGTGTGCATGCACGCATTGCACAGGTTCCTGGTGCTGCTACACAACACACTTGGCGCATTGACGACAAAAGTACACCCGCTGGCCACACATTGTAAGCGCCTGTGTGCGCAAAGGCATGCTTCTGTTGCGACTGGTCACGGCGGGTCAAGAGAAGCAGGCACTGACAATTATGCTAGCAGAGCCAGCAATTCCCCAGACTCACCACCCCAGGTGGCACCCCCTTTCCCCATCGCTGCGTGCTTGCCACAGGCGCCATGTGTGTCTGACAAATTGACGTGACGCGGCTCCGGCTAGCTGTTCTGCTTGCGATGTTGATACTGGAGGCGCGAAACAAAACTGTAGTAACCCTGGTGGCGTTGATGACCCAGATGCGACAAGCCCTACATACCTCCTCATTGCGAGAGCTACCCGCATTGTGTAGGCAGGCTTCCAGCATATTGTAAGGGACTTTTTGAGCAGAAACCTTAATCACAGCTAACACACATAAGTGGCGAGAAGGATTGCGGTTCTTGAGTCATGTACTTTACACCAGGGCAGAAAGGCCGGACGCCTGAATGCGGACACGTGGCATTTTATCGCACGTGTTTTCAGTTATTTATCATGTCAATCTTGCGTCTGGTTCGTGGTTGAACACTCTTCATCACGAGGCACCGGCCGTGTGCACGGTGGCACACAACGCTGTGTCGGAGGCTCAGTCTCGGAAACCATTTAGTAGAACCAACACACCCGCTGCTGGCAGCGAGCGCCATCACTCGCCCCAGCGCTTCCTGGTGGCCGTCGCGCTCTGTGCCGCCCGCCTCAGCCCATTGTCCCACCCGGACGGCAGCGCCGCCCGCCTGGTGGCCCCTCCGCGGTCGGCGGCGTCCGCAGCCATGCGCACCCGCAAGCCGCGCAAGCGCATCGACGTCCCAGACCTCATCGGTGCGCGCAACAGCACGGGCCCCCATGAGTGCGCGCGTGTTGTGGCGCGGGGCGCTGCCTCGCCCTACCCCGCACCGACAGCTGCATCGCAGCTGCGCCACTGCCGCCCGCAGCGTGGGCCTGCTGCTTGGGCCCTGACGCTACCTTCACTCCCGTACCCCATGAAACCCTCTCGCCTCTTTCCCCTCCGCCCTCCTCCCTCCCCCC